TGGATGAAGAAGCCTGAAGCGAAAATGTAGTAGAAGTATCCAATATCAAAAAACAAAAAACAGAAAATGTAGTCAATGGATGGGAAAAGTTGGAAACCGACATCTTGATGCGGATATTTCAGAACTATTTTAGCATCGGTGAGTTGACCTCTGGATTAGCTCATGTCTGTAGAGGATGGCGTGCGGTTTGTTGTGATCCCGTTTTGTGGTATACCCTCGATCTATCGCGTATGAAATATATTTTCATTAAAACCAAAAACGAGCCATATGTATACGTGGAGCGCCGCTCTGATAAGTGATAAGTACCTCGGATCTTGACACTCTCCATGAATCTTAGCAAAGGAAACACAAGGACTTTGATTTTTCATTTCAACTTGTCTCTGACTGATGATATGCTTACTTACACCACAAAAAGGTATATTCACTTTTTAGTACTATCTACTTAATTACTTTGGCCTTTTTATATTTCTGTTTAACCGATTGATAATTTGTTCTACTCAATTATTGTAGGAGTCCAAACTTGAGAGTTGAGACGTTTAGTGCTACCAGCTATGAATAGAATGAAGGATATCGGTATATGCAATGCCTTAAGCTTTTGTATGAATCTAGAATCACTAACAATGCCAAGCATCCTAGAATCACATATTGTCTTTTCATCGATCGTCAAGAGAAAGACATTCAAAGAGCTCAGGGTAATGGGTCACATCGATCTCCTCTTCGCCCAAAACGTCGTTCAGTGTCTCCCAAATCTCAAAGTCCTTAGCCTTAGATGCAATGAAATAAACCGAGACGCCCTCTTAGAAATCATGGATAAACTAGAAAGCCTCGAGGTTCTCAATATCTCTCATTCTTACCTAGTGGGCACGCAGCAGCAGCCTGAGAAGAAGAAGTTCATCGTGAGGGAGCTTGACTAGGCGATAATGGAGAAAGCCTCGAAGCTGAAGAGGTTTGTGACTTGTATGGAGCACAAGACGTGCGTGATGTGCCAGAGGACGGACAAAGATGAAGGAATCATGAGATGGTATATGTATGAGGAAGGGCTATGGTTAGCATACGAAGTAAGCTCTCTTCATCTATAAAGTGTTTTGGCAATTATTTACATGTTTCTTGCTATGGAAGATACCTTTCTTTTATGGTTTTTGTGTTTTCTAGTCTCGTGTTTGGTGGGCTTTGTACTTGTGATCACGTTTGCCAAATTTGTCTATGCTATATGTTGTTGTTTCTCTCAATCACAATTCACAAGCCTTCCCAGATTTAGGAACATGATTAAACAATTTTACAAATTCCATTATTTCAAAAAATTTAAAGATACATTTTATAATTCCATTAGCATAATGTAAGATTAACACCTAATATAATTCATCATTCCTAGCAAGATTTAAAAGTCTTTGACTTGCTCATGTTCCTTTCTTATAAGCAAATAGTAATTTTAGCCCGTCAAGTAACAAATCTATGATGTTACTAACCAAAAAGCATCTTCTCATGATGATGGTTAGTTAGTTAATCATAAAGTTGAATTTCAGTGATTAATTATAGACTTATAGTTAGGCTATGAAAAGTGTTTGCTAATTTTTTTTTCAAAAGTTTCTTTTATCCCTACAGTATTTTCGCCTCATAAAGAACTTACGAATTAGAATTATTGTGGGTGTGAATACGTGTATGTGTATCATAGCTAGCAAATCTAGTTTGATGTTAATCTATATGGGAAATTTGATAACGGTTGATCATCTTTGTGGACCAACTTGGTGTTAGCTTTATTCCAACTACTTATTAATTATCCATTCCTTTGTTAATGACTCCGTCTAGTCTACTTTAAGTCATCCTTTAAGTTGCTTTTGCATCTCCACTTTGTTCTCTGCTTTCTTTTCATGGGAAAATTGCATCACCATTCATTAATTTTAGTATGTATAAAGTTTAAATGTTTCTTAATCAAAAAAGAGAAGAAAAAAAATGTAGAAGACCACATTTGTAACGGGAAAAATGTCGTTTAATAGCCGAACTTTCAAAAAATGACCGTTTAATACGTGAACTTCTTATATGGCCAATTTAAACATGAAGTAAACGTTGACCGGCCAATTTAAACATAAGTATTCGTTGACCAGGCCAAAAACCACACGCCGTTATCTGTCGTTAACAGATCCGATAACAGCCGTTAACGATTCTGTTATTACCTAAAACGACGTCGTTTTAGGCTTAATCGAAATCCCTAAATCCCCAAATCGACGTCGTTTTCTTCGTTTTTGACGTCGGCCACGAGCTTTGTCTCCGACATTCGGTTGAACTAGAATTCCATCTCTGCCACCTGGCTCTGAAACGCTTCCGCCGGTGGAGCTTGAACTCAGTCTCCGACAAGAATCTCAGATTCGCGTCGAGCTTCAACTCCAGCATCCACAACACTCTCTGCTTCGCCTCGAAAATCGGCCTTAAGGTTCTAATTTTGGGGATTTTTCAGAATTAGGGATTTGAAAATCAATTTGGGGATTTTCGGGGTTTAGATTAAGCCCAAAACGACGTCGTTTAGGCAATAACGGAATCGTTAACGAGAGTTAAACGGCTGTTATCGGATCTGTTAACGACAGATAACGGCGTGTGGTTTTTGGCCTGGTCAACGAATACTTTATGTTTAAATTGGCCGGTCAACGTTTACTTCATGTTTAAATTGGCCATATAAGAAGTTCACGTATTAAACGGCCATTTTTTGAAAGTTCGGCTACTAAACGACATTTTTCCCCTTTTGTAACGGATGTTTCCGCTTTAGTTGGTGAATTTTTTATATTTTAGGTAGTTACGTATATGTTTTTTGGAGAAATATTAATAAATGGGCATTAAATGGAAATCGAATCCATTCTTTGAAGAAGAGTGGGTCCAAAAATGCAGCACAAGTGTTATAAAAAGACTTGAGGCTGAGAAGTAACGAAGAGACATGAAAAAGAGGACAATGACCAAAGGTGGTACATAACACACGTATGACTCGTCCTTACTTTGCTGTCCACAAAATTCTCTCATCAAACTAAAACCTACCACCGATTTTCTTCTTTTCTCTCTCTCAAAATCTGCCCCGACTCTTCTTCATCGGACGCGTAGTACCGTATCGGTATTTTAACCCCGTGATCTATGCTTCTTTTTTTTGGTTATATGGTCATAAAGAATCGTTATAAATATATAATATAATAGAAATTCAAAGTAGGGAAAATTAGATTGGGTACCACTTATTCCACAAAAGTTTTCACTTCTACCACATTTGAATCTCAATTATCATTCATACCACATTGTGTTTGTAAAATGACCATTTTACCCTCCAACTGGTGAGGTAAGGAACTGCGATTGATGTGACCTTTCGAAATTTATGCCGTCCTTTTTATCTCTCTTGGCGCATTGGTAACCGTTTTCGTCCCTCTGGCTGGTAAAACAAAGTTGTCCCCGAGTAAATCCAGATCTTCGTCTTCGGCTCTCTGGCAGAATAAAATAAAGATCAAGTTGTCCCCGAGTTAATCCAGATATCTGGCTGGTAAAACCACATCATCTGGCGATGGATAATTAAGAGATGTTGTCTCCGAGTAAATCCAGATCTCTGCAGGCTGGTAAAACCATATCATATGGGATTCATAATAATAGAGCAAGCTGATGAAATCGGGGACAAGATCTAGACGCAACAGAGAATTTTCAATCGGGGACAAGATCTGGAGACATCCATTTAATGCAGCCGCTCCCCGTTTCCCAACCGGCGTCTTACTGTAGCTCCTTCCCCTGACACATTCCTGACGCAGGCAGAAGGGTAAAATCGTCCAACCTCTACCACACAAACACCAAAAGTGGTATGGATGCTAAATCGATTTGCAATGTGGTACATTTGCTAGGATTTTCTAAAATTGTGGCACATTTGGCAAAATTCCCTTCAAAGTATAGACTCCTTTAGAATACCCCGAAATCCGTAAAAAATGTAAGTAATATAATTCGGATTTTGTAAGGAATTGGACAACTATTGGGAATGATTATGGCGTATTTAAACATGTTGACCATTTAGAGGGGTTCTTACTTCTTATATCGGATAAAATGATCATATTACCAATTTACTAAGTGAAATAAACTGTATTGGTCCAAACATTTCTACAACTGATCCGAATGAACAAAAAAATAAGCTAGAATTTAGTATAACGCGATTCGTTTATATGATATGTCAATTTTAAGCGGATATGTCGATTTCCAGCTTTGAAAGTTGATTTGATAAAGAAAAATTGTATAAATGCTGTAAAATAAAAAGATTGTTATAAGTGCATTAAATGCTAGAGAAAAAAGATTGTGAACCAAGCAATTGAAAGTAACCGGTTAGAAAAATGCTACGTCTTTTTCAATCACATCGTCAAAAGTTGTACATTTTCTAACAACAACAAAGTAATTAAAACTAACCCTTTATAAGAAAACAAAGTAATTAAAATTACTAACTAAATGCCTACCATTGTAAAACTAACCGGAGATTAAGAGAATCAAAACTCGAACGTTTATAAGAAACTCTTTACCAGCTTAGTTTTGGTGTAGGAAAAAATAATAGAAATAGACGTTTTGTTTTTGGTTTTAATGTTAAATTAGTTTATTCCACCATTAAGATCAATCATGTCATCATTGTAATTTACGAACAACCTCTCAATCTAATGGTCGGTGAAGATTTATTGTGATAATCGAATTGTTACTATCTTTTTATTCAACATTTAAATAACGTCCTTTCGCCTACTACAAGTCAATAAATTTATTACAAGAATTTGCCATGTTTGGCTATATAAGTAGCCACGACAACAAACTTCACACTTTCTTGCCTGAAATAGAATTCCATGGGACCTTTCTCTGACATTGCATAAGAATGGATAAACTCATAAAATACAAATCATACGTGGATTGGTAAATAAAGCCAATTATTTACTGAGGGAAAACAAAAAGCCATATTAAAATGAATATTACATTCTAATGTATTAAACTATTATTAAAAATTTCTTTTGAATGGGATTGGTTTTCGATTGGTCCGAATCCTCAGAAGCAACAGTCATTACTCTGTTTTCATATGAACACTCTTCATCCTCACAAGCAGCAACAAGAACAAGAACAAGAAGACCAAGCTAAATACGAATGGGATCTTTCTCTCTCCACCGTCGTCTCTTCCTCCTCCTCCTCCGCTTCCGACGTTATCGGAGCTATTGAATTCGATCCCACTGATAACATCGTCGCTACCGCCGGGATTTCTAGAAAGATTCGTTTTTACGGCCTCCCTTCTCTTTTACGTACCAACGCCGTCTCCGGCACCGGAGTTTCCTTCGTCGATCAAGCCACCGCCTGCGAGTATTACATTTGTACGCCGGCAAAGCTTAGTAGTCTCCGGTGGAGACCCGGGTCGGGCGGTCGTGTTATTGGGTCGGGAGATTACGACGGCGTAGTGACTGAGTACGATCTCGAGAAGAGGACGCCGGTTTTCGAAAGGGACGAGCACGGTGGCCGCCGCGTATGGAGCGTGGATTACACTCGCCACGGCGGTGCTTCCGCAGTGGGAGCGTCGGGATCGGACGACGGGACTATGCAAGTATGGGATCCGAGGTGTCCGCCGGAGGAATCTGTCGGCGTTGTACGACCGTCGGGGATTTGCCGGAGCGCCGTTTGTTGCGTCGAGTTTGATCCTTCCGGTGGACCAGCCGTGGCCGTCGGATGCGCTGATCGGAAAGGGTACGTGTACGATATAAGGAAACTCGTTGACCCGGCGTTGACTTTACAAGGTCATACTAAAACGGTGTCGTATGTGAGGTTCCTCGACGGTGGTATGGTGGTGACGGCAGGTACGGACGGTTGTTTGAAGTTGTGGAGCGTAGAGGACGGGCGTGTGATTCGCACGTACGAAGGGCATGTGAATAATCGGAACTTCGTGGGGTTATCTGTGTGGAGAAACGGCGCGTTGTTTGGTTGCGGATCGGAAAACAACAGGGTGTTTGTGTACGATAGGAGATGGGGGAAGCCGGTTTGGGTAGATGGGTTTGAACCGGTTGGTATGAATTCTGGTTCGGATAAGCGGTTCGTGAGTAGCGTCTGTTGGAGGCAATCAGGTGTGGACCAGTGCACCCTAGTGGCTGGAGGATCTGATGGAGTATTACAGGTTTACGTGGGCAAAAGAAAACCATAGTATTCTTCTTAATTTATCATTACACTATATTTTATAAATTATGAATCTATGATGATGATGATGATGCTTCTTAATTTCTTTTTCTTTTTTTTTTTCAAATTTGATTTCCTATTTGAGATGATTTTTGATTGAGTTGTGTTTGATCTGTTTTTTTTTTAATTTATAAAGGATTTTTTACATGTTCTATGTTTTTTTTTTGTTACGCATAAATTTTAGTTTTAATCCACAAATTTTCATTTCCTATTTCTTATACGATATTTGGGAAATAACTTTCTTCAAGTTTGATCACAAAAGTAGCTAGTAGCTACAAGCTTGTTGGTAGATACTATATAATAAATTTAGTGGTATATATATCACGAGATTAAGTTATTTTGCATTTTTGGGGCTTCAAAATAGGAAAAAAAAATGAGTGCAAAGTATTGATTGACAGCATCAATAATGGTTTATTGGACGCGTCTATTAGAGGATTATGTGAAGACATCAAGTTCTGGATGCCTAAGTTTAAGGATCTTTGTTTTCTTTATGTTAATCGTTCTTGTAATCAAGTAGCTCATTGTCTTGCCAAATTTGGTAGCACCCAATCTTGTTTTTACTCTGCAAATTCAGATTCGCCTCTTTGGATCGTTAACATTTTGTATGACGATATTTCAAATTAATATAAGTTATTTTGACGAAAAAAAAAAAAAAAAAAAACTGACATCATGATTGATGAAAATGAGAAAAGCATAATAAAGTCGAATGTCATTAGTATTTGATTCTTGTCTTTTTTAATCAGAGTTAATCTCTTGTTTAATTTTACTTATCAGCAAGAAGAAGAAAAATCCATGTTTTTAGCAAGAAAACAAAAAAAGAAGAGAGAGAAAAAAGTCCATGTTCTTGGTTGAATCCTAAACCTCAAGACTGAAATCGTTTTAAAGTTTATAACAACACAAATTGTGAACTACATTTCTTAAAGAATCATATCTTCATGGGTGCTTCGGATCTTTCCACAATGATGGTTTGATCACCTTTGAAAACCGTAATATAAAATACTTAAATTCGCAGTGGAAAGACTAAAAGAGTTCTAATAATTTAGATTTGTCCTCCTAAATGCCTAATTCATGCATTTGTTGATTCCAAACAATAATTAAGTGCATAAGAGAATATACTAATCTACATTTATTGATATAGGCATATAGGGATGTATCTTTAGTCAAATGATTAAGTCTATTTGACTTCACCTTTTTCACCGGAGTTCGACTCCACTAAGTCGCGTTACCCCGCATAGTAGAAATTGACTATGAATCGGGTCTTGTCGATCCAAAGATTGTCAAAAAAAAAAAAGATATAGGCATATAGCATATAAACAAAAACTCAAATCTAATTCAAGAATTTCTAGATGCCATATAATAATTGTACACTTCCTAATTCCTATATATCACTATCCACTAAAATATCAATGAACACAACACCAACACAAAACTACTTGCTAATAGTAGGCAAACGTGTAACGCCTTTCTTCGTATAATTGTAATTCACTATTCGTATTCTTTCTTTTGGCAGCGTTCACAATTTGTATTCAAGCACAGAAAAAAATACAATAGTAAAGATTTGCCAAGAAAAAGTAAACAACAATATATATGCCGATTGTGACAACGGAGCAAACAACACAAAACTGGCAGTGAGAGCAATTCAAGACAGACAAACAAATATGACACAACACAGAGCCGAATACGATCTTACAAACCATAAATAATTAGACGTTTCTGGAGAGTAGTCTCGAGGCCAATGGCCACAAATCGGAGGTCAAGAACGATCATCGATAAGTTTTCGCCGGCATAACCATTTCAATGTCTTATATCAAAAAAAAAAACCATTTCAATGTCTTGTTGTCTTCATCAAGATCACTACATTTTAGGTGGCTTAGGAAACCTAAAAGCTCATGGTGGACTGATGTTATGATCAAAAACCATTTCATAGATCAAAGAGGTGGTGCTTGGCTGATTAAGCATGGAGAATCCCAACTTTAACTATATTGGCCGTGTTCTTTTCTTAATCGCTGAACTAGCGACAGCGACAAAAAAAAAATCAAAGGCCCAAATGCTTTACAGGCCCATGTAGAGAAAATCAGCGACAGTTTTAGTTTTATAAAAGACAAAAACGAGCGGAGATGGAGTCGCTGGAAAAACCAGCGTTCACCGGCGACACCACGTTTTCCAAAATTAATGCCGTAGTCTTCTTTAATCTGTCGCTGGGTTAGTTTTAGCGACACTTAATTACAGAAAATCAATGTTTTTTTCGGTCGCTAACTCTGATCGCTGCGATCGAGAAACGAACAGGACCATTATATATTTTGAATGCAATATGTTCTTATGGTGAAATAGTATGTCCAAACGAACACAAATAAATACACTTTTTTTTTCCTAACAAATACACAACTAAACAAGTTCACAAATCACAACTTTTGTCCTTAGTCATAAAACTTCTACATGTATTATGTACCCAACCATTTTTACTAAAGTAGACAATTAAGTGATTTCGAGAGATAACAAATTTCAAGAGTTGAATGTAATAGAGTTAGTCAACAAAAAGTGCGTAGATTTGTATTACGTCTGTGATAATCAAAGTCTCAAACAAAAGGGATCACCAGACAAAACATTAAAACATTCCAAAATCAAACCAAAATCTCCAGACTTTCTCAAAACTCTTACACTCCAGTGAAAGCCTTCTTACCAAAGGCGGATGCGCCCGCTGGGATCACCTTCAACACATTGAACCTGACTGTCTTCGACAACGGCCTGCAATATAAATCACAAACAATCAGATATCGTTTTCCCCGCATTGCCTAAATCATAAAAAGAAGTATAACGACAACACAATATTCACCTGCATTGGCCAATGATGACATGATCACCTTCCTTGACACGGAAGCACGGTGAGACATGAGCAGGGATATTGGAATGTCTCTTCTCATATCTGATGAAGATTTAAGAATACAGTTTCATTTAGCATTGATGTTAAATCTTTGGACTATCAAGAAGAGAGATTCACAATCTTCTTACCGTTGATACTTCTTCACAAAGTGAAGGTAATTCCTACGAACAATGATGGTTCTCTGCATCTTGGCACTGTGGCAAGTACCAGCTAAGATACGTCCTCTGATAGAAACAGTTCCAGTGAATGGACATTTACTGTCAATGTAAGCTCCTGTTCCACGAAATCAATATTACGAAACTTGTCTCAAATTTTTGGTTTTGCTTCAAATCTAATCAAAGCAAACACTCAGTGATATTCAGCTCGACACGAACAACAAAATCTATCATACTGTTAATCACCTAATTCATAACACTAAATCAACTATTTAGAGTTTCTCATTGAAGAATAATCAGAAGAAACAGACAAAAACAAACCTTCAATGGCTTCACGAGGAGTCTTGAAACCCAAACCAATGTTCTTCCAGAAACGGTTTCCACCTTTTCCAGGTCTCTTTCCTTTCCCAGATGTCTTCGAGCTGAAACACACACATACACACACAAAAACCTCAATCATGTGAATCGATTCTCAGATTTGTTCTGATGAATTTACCTTAGGAAGACTTTGGGTTGTTTAAGAAAAGCTTTCTCAGTCTGCAAAAGAAAGAAGAGAATGAGAATCGTAAAGAGTATCTATCAGAGTATAGAAATGTACACAAAGGAATAAAAATGAACCTGCTCAGCCATGGCTACTGATTGCTGCTCTCCACGGAGCTCTGAGGCAAAAAGGATGAAGAAAATGCGAGAGGCTGAAATCTCAAGTAGTGAAGCTCCCGAAGAAACCCTAGTTTCGAAGTTCTCTCTTTAGTTGGGTTTGGGCCTTTTATGGGCCGTAATTTACATTTTATCAACTCTCAGTTTTTTGTCAATCGGGCTATTGAAATGTTGAACCCTTTCGACCAACAAAAAAATGTAGACAAATCACAAAAAAAGTTTTTAGTCACGGATAAATCGGTGGTCAAATAGTGGATAAATGGGTTAGGGAAGAACAACTTATAATTTATCTATGACCACTTTGTCACTAAATCGCCACCACTACTAAACTAACCATTTCTAAATAATGTTATGTGATGGCTCCTTCGTGGTTGGCTACAACATATGATATTTGATTTATCATATGTTACATTATATTGATTTGGTTGAGCATAAGTTTTTATGATGCAAACATTTGAAATTATGGGACATTGTTCTCGTTTTTACATATCGGACCACTTACTACCGCATTTATGATAGGGGCCGGGTGATGCGATCATAAATTACGCCATGAAGAAAAATATAAACATTATTGTACTTACCAATTCATAAAGCTAAGAAAAAACCTTTCAATGAAAAGAGTTGTACAAATACAAATTAAATTAACAAACGCATCCCAATCAATATGTAATGTTTGCATATGACCTTATGATTTTCTATGTTGCCAAATTAATCCCATATTAAGCAAACTAAAAACGTCATCACATCAACAACATATTCATGTGTTTCCCATTGAGACGACTAGATCATATGCATCCGAAAAGCTTTTTGGGAGCGGTTCCAGTGGCACGGTACTTGGCAGCTAATTCCTCGGCCTTGAGAACTTCTTCTCCACGCTTAGCTTCGATCATCGCTCTCTTTTCTTCTGCTTCCTTGTGAATTTGAGCTATTTTGTTCTTCATCAGCTCCACATACTCTGCCTTCTTCTTCTCCAAATGCTCCTGTTGTCAATTTTAAAAGTTGGGCTATATCAGAAATGTCACAAAAATAATAATTCTGAATGTAAAACATATATACCTCCATTTTCTTGAGCTCAGCTTCCACAGCTGCTTTCTTGTTGTTCTCCCATGACCCAATTGAAGAAAGCTTCTTTTCAGCTCTGTTTCAAAACATATCCTCCAAGACCTTAATGATAATATCTTGGTTTAATTGCAAATTATCAAATCCGGTTAATAGACATTTATGGATAAATATTGATATAAAAGTTTACTTGTTCTCCACTTTGCATTTCTCAGCCTCTTCCCAAGCTTTGATAAGTGACATCCTCTTCTCTGTCTCAACTCTAGCCAGAACAGCATCTTCACTCCCAAAATTATTAAGCAAATACAATCACTAATCATAATATGTGGGAACAATAAGAGACAATGATAAACACAAATGTCCATATATTTAACCTTTATATCACCCAAAATTAATGAATATTAAACCAGCTTTCAGTTTTTACTTTGTATACACATCTCATGATAAAACGGCACCCAAACCACCTAATTAATTATTTCCCGATATGACAAAAACACTAATTAATTAATTATATTCAAGATCCTTTAATTTCCATATTTTATTAGTCTTGTATCTATTTCGTTAATTACCTCGATTAACTGATCCTTCTTTCTTCTCTTCCTCTACTTCCTCTGCCACACACAAAAAAAATTGTAAGTATTGATAAAAAAAAAGTAACAACACATTAGAGAAGAACAAAAATCTTTGAATTCTTCTTGTTCAACCTTAAAACTGACATAAATTCAGAAATTTGAAACTTGTTCATTTTTCAATATCAAAAAAAAAAAAAAAGTTTATAATATCTTGTTTTTAATCTTGAAATATCAACGTTATCAGTAATAATCTTTAAGAAAATCAGGTATATATGACGACTCTGATCAGTTAATTAATAGAAAAATATTTTGGCATAAGTTTTTGCATGATTATTGAGCCAACTTGAGTAATATATAATCATTAATTATGTTGAAAAATAAGATAGTAATTACTAGCGACAACGGGAACAAGAGCCTTGGAGTCCTCTAGCTTCTCCTCCGCCGGCGCCGGAGATGAAAGAACGGGAGGTGGAGCCACAGGCTTCTCTTGAGGAGCAACAACAGGTTTCTCCTGAGGAGCAACAACAGGTTTCTCCTGAGGAGTAACATCTGCCGCAGCAACAGGTTTCTCCACCGGTGTTGGAGTTGGTTCTGATACGGTCTCTGTCACCTTCTTTGGTTCCTCTTCAGCCATGACGTCAGGTACAACAACTAAAGGTTACAAGAGAATCAGAATGATCCTGAACTCTTGGTTATTTAAGAGAGAGGAAACAAAAAAAATGTTTTAGAGAGATTAACTGTCGTATGTTCAAGAAACTGAGCTGGAAAATGTTTGGTAGTGATGATGTTCTGTTTCTCGTTGTCATAAAATGACTCGCCTTCTTTCTTTATATATTTGATTTTCTTCTTTTTTTAGTATCATTGATGCACGATTATCAATGATTCAATGATCATTAATCTTTAGATAATTCATAAAAACAATCCACTTGTTATTTATATTTACAATTCAACCCCATAATTCTCATTTAATTTTTCTTAACTTAATTAATAATTTAATATTTAATATGTAGCTATCGTTACGAAATGGTTCGACATATAATTTCTTATAAGTTTTGGTACTCATTGGAGTGGGTTCCTTCGAATGTTGTTTAAAGTGGACCTTAGAAACACTTACACGGAACCATAATTAGGGAGTAGAACCGGTTCGCTACTCAGAACAAATGTCATCCAACCGGGTCGTGTTCTATGTAGAATTTCAAAAATAGCATCTAATAAACCGGATAAATGGGAACCAGAAATTATGAATTTTTATTAGTTATGTTCTTTTTTTTTTGGGTTGTTGTAGTTTTTCCTACTTCTTTAGGCGACCAATGAGGCAATGAATCACCAACTCCCATGACGTCATATATTTTTTTGGGTTAAAGGACGTCATATATATGAGGTTAACAAAAAAAAGGTTAGATAAATAAATACTGAGAAAATAAAGATAGGATACTTACGTTACGTTACTTAATTATATAGATAGCCCTAACCTAAAAGAAACTCTTTATAACTTGTAACATTTCTTTACGCGAATCTTGTTTCTTATCGAAACCGTAAAGTTTGATCGTTTATGTAAATTTTTAAAGTCGAGTGGATGAATCCATAGACAGTAATCAAATATATTAGTATATGCTAATTAAATCCGGAATATAAATGTATATTAGTGATTCTATAACTGAAAGGTAGCTAAAAAGTTGCTATTTACTGTTAAAAGAAGAAGGTTACAAATGATCGTTAATAATTATTTGTGGTTGAAAAGTCATTGTTGTTCCTTTTTCCTTGAAATATGTTTTAAAAAGAATCTTTTAAACGAGTTACTAATTAAAACTTGATTTTTTCCGTCCATGAGTGATATTCTGATAACTTTCCATTTTTTGATCTCCCATAGTATTCATCCATTTATAATTTATTACATCTCCATATAACCAATCTTGTTTTTTTTTTTTTTTAATAAAATATTAAATTATATTTAAAAAAAATATGAGAGCAAAAACAGAGTTTGAGTTTAAGAGCGGAAACTTTTCTAATCTTTCATAGCCACGGGTAGCACCGTAGCAAACTAGGCTTGTAAGCCGTCTTCGTATCGTCGATCTCCTGTTGATTTGATTGTTGAGAGTTGGTTGCGAACCAACCTTGTTAACGTTTCACGAACCAGTAGAAGGAATTATGTATATGTTAAATATGTGGAAGGAGATGTCTTCAAAGAAATTTACAGTATGATAATATTTTTATGTGTAAGAAATTAATCCAATGTTTAATTAAATCTTGATCGAGTCTTGTGATTAGGCAGATATGTATACACCAATTGCAATGAATTTGTTAAAAGTTTCACAATTATTATGGAACTTCTCTTTTACATATTTCAAACGGTAGTACGTAATTTACGACAGTCATCACGTTTTTGTTTTTGGTTTAGTATATGAATTTGCGTTTATAGTTTTTGCAGTTTATTGTGCTTAAAATAGTAAACATGTACTAGTTTGTGTTCCCTAAAGAATAAAAGTTTCAATACTTAGTTTTTATTACAATATATTGAACAATTAATTTTACATCTTCAATTATTCAATGATTTAGCGTTATAATTATGAAATCAAGATGACAAAAATTTAGGGTCTCAATAGCAATCGAGTTACTTATTAGTTATTTCTTAGGTTCTTCTTCCTTCTTCTCTTCTTTCTTCTCCTCTTTCTTTTCCTCTTTCTTCTCTTCCTTCTTCTCTTCTTTCTTCTCCTCTTTTGCTGGTCCAACCGATATCAAATCGACTTTACCAACCTTCTTCAACTTCTTTACCACCGCAACCGCATCCATCAAACCGATCACCGTCAATTTTTGATCCTTCATATCCGCTGCTATCGAATCAACTCCTGCTTAACACAAACCTCTTAGCATAAACTACATTGTATCATCTTTGGTCATGCATTCATCGTTTTAAATCTAATGAAAATGGTATTCGTTGCTTATCTCCCAAAATATAAGGCAGATCACATTTACACACTCCATAATACGTTTTTGACTTTACCGAATCAGCCTTAACTAGGCCCAAACTAATCTATGATTTTTTGGCCCATAAAAAAATTGGGCTTCCAAAATGTAAGAATATCATCTCGTTGACTATGTGTCAAAAAGGTCAAATAATCCAAGCTCTCGAGATTCTGACGCAATAATCGAGCCAGATTTCATAACGATTGTTTCATATAATTTTAGCTAAAAAATGGCAATTTAGTGAGTGACAAAACCCAGCAGCAAACTTGTTTAATCGTTTTTTTTTTTCAAATCCTAAAAAATCTATAAAAGTTCAAGATTAGTACCCAAAAATACCCAGAAACAAGAATTGAATTTCAATAAAAAGTAGTTAAAGAAAAGAAGAAGAAATAATAATTACCGAAGATATCAGCTGCAGCTTCTATGGCTTTCTGCTTGGTTTTATCATCAGTCATGGTTAAAACCTTCAACACCACTTTCTATAAAAAGTATAAAATCAAAGTAAATACCATTTAGGAGAAAGAGATAAACCATATTCAATTTTAAAAGTAAATGAGAAAAAACAAACCTGAGCCATTTCGTCTGGGATCTTGGAGAAATAAGGAAGAGAAGAGATCGAGAAAAGAAAGAGCTTGATGTGTTTTTTTTTTTTTGTAATATAGAAAATATATAATTTAGTGGGGAATTGAATATAATATTGATTGAGATTGACAATTGACAAAAGTTTGTGTTTGTGGTGGCTTTTGGTAGAGGATGAGAACATGTGACGTATGTTTCAATGTAGTGGACAGCTCTGCAATACTCTTACTTCGCCTACTTTTTCTAAAGTTGTTTTGTTTTTTCTCTTCACTTAAAAAGTACTCGGACACAAGTGGTTGGTTCTTGATTTTTCAAGTTAATTAAGCTAAGTCAAAACTAGACATCATTCATCATCCGTAAGTGCAAAACAGAGAGGTGTCATTAAACTTATTTACCATGGAGCTGATGCAGTTGCCTTAAACTCAAGCTTCACATCATCAAGCTGTTGGACAATCTTTGTTGCACATGACTTACTTTGAGCTATCTCTTTGTCCATCTCCTCATTCAGCCTCTGCAGCTCAAGAATCTTGCGCTCGTTCTCAGCCTTTACGCTCTCTTTCTCTGCAGTCACTTTTTCGGCACCTTTGAGTTCCTCTGTTTTCTTTGATTGTCTATCTCTGAGAGACAACAGCTTATTGAGCCGTAACAGAGGTACTTTTACATTGAACCCGTGTTTCTCTAACTTGGAAAAGGAATCATTAAGGCTATCGAATGAGCTTATGGGATCGTCGTGTTGCAGAGCTTTGACTTCATCAAGTAAACCAGAAAAGGTAAGCATCATACCAACCGCAGACATTTCACGGGTATCTTCTCTACTCTCCACCAATGGGCTGAAATGAGGACTTTGTGGGACTGTTTTAAACACCTCCATTGATTCTAGTGTCTTCCAAATTCGTAACTTCTTCTCAAAGGGCAAAACCATTCTTGTATCCTTTGCTTTGTCTTCCTCAGCACTAGCAACAGAACAAAGGTTTTCTTCTCTTTTCCTCTTTCGATTAACATCTTCAATATTTTCCTGCATAGAAGTTAAAAATCCCAAGTGTGAACTGTGAAATATCATTCAATAGATAAATAACAGTCATGAGGATTAAGATAATAAATCACCAGCTAACAAACTACAGAGAAAGTGAAGAATTAACATTACATTCTCTCGTGTTGAATCGTTTCCTGAACCATTCTGATTCCTTGGAAGTGTCTTCTTGGGGGATGTCTTTCTTTGAGTTTCAACCTCTTCTTGTTTCAACGGTGTTATAGTTATGCCCGGAGGTGGAGTTACAGGTGGATCAGATTCATTTGCTGGAAAACAGTGGACATTATAAGATCAATTTTCATGATACAGAAATTGAAAATGGATTTGGAGAATCCATTAGATTTTGAAGAGTGTTACCATTCATCACAGAATCACTCATCTTATATCCTGATTTCTGAGTTAACGGCGATTCCCTTGTCTGCAACATCTAACACAGATCAAAACCCACAACAGGAAGATAATAATACAAAGACTTCCAATGCAAACCATCATTACACATCAAAGAAATGCAGTCAAAGAAGCAAGTCTTTTGCTAAAGCTCTAAAGCTGAAATGGCAGTTTCATATTATTAAGATTCTTGCAAACAATTCACACAGATTAGTCATTACTAACCATAATCTAGTGTTGAATGAAACCAGTGAAAAGAAAACGTTATATACCTTCCAAATGCCATCTTCCCAAACCTTCAAAGGCCTAAGATCCGAGTGTTTGAATGCCAATTCCTTCTTTGTAGCCTCTAAAAGCACTGTATACAATTTCTGAGAGAGAGTTCCCATCACTCGTCCTTGACGCCATCCCATACCATCATGAAACACCTCTACGTATTCCTCCGATTGATACTCATCAACCGAAATAGAAGGCGGTGTAGGCCTAAGACTACGAAAATCAACGATTTTGTTGGGTTCTGACTTACTACTCTTGCAGCTCAAGGACTTATCACAGACCCTGACAATATACTTATACTCATCATCATCATCAGAATCATCACCATCATCATCCTTATCATCATCCTTATCATCATCATCCTTATTGTCATCCTTATCACCATCATTCTTTTCATCATCATCGTCCTCATCATCATCCTTATCATCATCATCATCATCATCATCCTTACTATCATCATCATCATCATCATCATCATCATCCTTATCATCATCCTTATCATTATCATCTGCTTTGAACTCTTTAATAACCATTGCAGGAAGCCAAACGACTTCAGTTTCATTTATCTTAGAACTCACTTCCACCATTGTTCCGGGACTAAACATAGGCTCCTCAGCCAACCGCCTCAAGAACTACCAATAAAGTAAAAGTCTTTCATTATGCTTTCACAACCAAAGTATCCAAAACATTAGAAAAAACAAAAATTTCAATAATAATGGCAAATAAGATACAGAATTGAGAAGCCCCCAATTTCAGACCAAAATCCGATTTTTTACCTTTTCATTACGCCGTGATGTTCTGAACCAACCTGGGTCTCTCCTCTCACCGAGCCACTCAAGATAAGGCCTCAAAAGCTTTCTCTCAAACTGAATAATATCAGGTACTGGTGAATCAAAACACACCAAACACTTGTCATCATCAATCTCTTTGACCACAAAACCAGTCACCCACGCATCTTTATAATCAGCTTCGACGATGGAGCCTATCTTGATAGGAATGCTATCTAGCAAATGTTTCGGCGGAATCGGTCGACGCAATTCTTTGAAGGTGTGGTCGTTAAGAGTAGTCGAAAAGTCCTTCTTAAGCAACCGAACACAGAGTACCTTGCGTCTAGATTTGGGATTCCTGGGAGGTTCTGCCACGACAATGGCTTTGTACCAAATGTCTTCTAAGATATTTCGACTTGTAGACATAATACGAAGAGATCTCGGATCCTTTTTGTAAGAGATTTCGAATTCACAACCTTCCTCCATGGAAGGCATTCCACTCCCACAGTACCTCATTGCTTGATTACTCACAGTAAACAAATAAAAACCCTAACTTCAAGTTCAAAATCGAACCTTTTTGTAGAAACCCTAAATTTGAAAGAGGTTTCTTCTTCAGAAACTCAGAAACCAAAGAGATAAATTCACAGTACTAGTACCGATGGAAGAATACGGAATATGCTCTAACAGTGCGAAAGGAAAAATGTAGACTTTTTTTTTTTTTGAAAAATAACCAATTTATGTTTAGAAATTGGGTGAAACTAACATGTTTTGAATTTTGAGAAAACTAAAATTTTCTCTATAGAGATACTATTTAAGCTTTTAAAGTTGTTGTATTCCAAAACAATGAAATTGAATGTTGATATTGGTTGTTGTATTTGTTAATGTATGTCAAGAATTATTTTTTTTAGTCATATAACTTTTTACCACGGAGCCAATGCAGTTGCCTGAAACTCAAGCTTCACATCATCAAGTTGTTGGGACAATCTTCGCTGCACATGACTTACTCTGAGCTATCTCTATATCTGCCTCCTCATTCAGCCTTTGCAGCTCTAGAATCTTGCGTTCGTTGTCAATCTTTATGCTCTCTCTCTCTCTCTGCCGTCACTTTCTCGGCATCTTTGAGTTCATCCATTTTCTTTGATTGCTTACCTCTAAGAGACAACAACTTACTGATCCGTAACTGAGGTGCTTTTACATTGAACCCGTGTTTCTCTAACTCGACAAAGTAATTACTGAGGCTTGTCAATGAGCTTATGGAATCATCGTGTTGCAGAGATTTGACTTCCTCAAGTAAACGAGGAAAGGTAAGCATCATACCAACCAACCGCTAACATTTCACGAGAATCTTCTCTAGTCTCCACCAATGGGCTGAAATGAGGATTTTGTGCGACTGTTTTAGATACCTCCATTGATTCCAGTGTCTTCTAAATTGACAACTTCTTTTCAAATGGCAAAGTCATCGTTGTGTCTTTTGCTTTACTATCCTCAACACTAGCATCCGAACAATGGTTTTCTTCTCTTTTCCTTTTTCGACTAATATCTTCACTATTTTCCTGCGTAAAAAGTTAAAATCCCAAAGGTTCACTATCATTCAACTAATTAAAAAGAGGATTAAGATAATAAGCCACCACCTAACAAACTACCAAGAAAGTGAGAATAATAATGTTAAAGTGAAGAATTAACTTTACATTCTCTCGTCTTGAATCTTTTCTCGAGCCATTCTGATTCCTCGGAAGTGTATTCTTTGGGAGTGTCTTTCTTTCAGTTTCAGCCTCTGTTTAGTTTAACGGTGTTACACAGGTGGATCAGATTCATTTGCTGGATAACAGTGACATTCTAAGATCACTTTTCATACAGAAATTGAATATTGGTTCAGATAATCTGTTAGATTTTGGAGAGTGATACCAACTTACCATTCATCACAGATTCACCCGTCTTATCTCCTGACCCCTGAGTTAACAACGATTCCCTTGTCTGCAACATCTAACACAGATCAAAAACCACAACAGAGGAGACTAATACAAAGACTCCCAGTGCAAACAATCATTACACATCTAAGAAATGCAGTCAAAGGCACTTTTTTTCTTCTCCACACTTCACATCATCCCTTAATATTGATCATCATTCATCAACTACCATTGTTGATATATATCAAAGTTATTTTCGAATCAACAAATGTAATTAAGTTGATTATTAAAAAGAAAAAAGAATTCATAGAAAAATTAAAGCCAAATTCTTATTATTGATTATAAAAAGAGAGACATAAAGGGTGGTCAAGGACTCAAGACATTGAAAAAAGACCAAACACAAACACAAGACCAACCACTCACATCTAATCTCACAAACATAAAACTCAAACGAGGTTGCTATATATAATTATGATAAAATGATATATATAGCTCAACCTTTTACTAAAAGTCTAAGACAATAACAAAACAAAAATAAAAGTTGCATAGATATAGCCTCCACATAAAAGGATCGGTTATGCGGCAGAGGGGGCAAGGCTCGTTAGGGCATCACCAACAGATTCCTTGGAAGCCAAGGTTGCAGTGACCGGATCCAGCTTGGACTCAGTCTCGACAAAATTCTTGTAGTCTAAACTCGAATCTTCGTAAATCTCCCACCACTTCTTCACCAACATTTTTATGTCATCTCGATCCATGTGCTCTTCAGCTCCATCGAATCTCCAAGGCTTCGAACCCTATAAAATTGATTATAAATATAAAATTTTAGTGATAAGAATATGTATCTACATATATGTAGAAAAACAAAAATTAAAAAAGAAAAAAAAAACGAACATTAGCACAATAGTGAACAACACTGATTTGGTCAAGGTCAATGTGTTCAGGGTGACGCCAAAGCATAGCCATGACGAGGTTGTAGGTCGAAGGGATTGGCTTGTAAATGTCTCTGAAGTACACATTCAAAAAGTCCTAACAAAAATAAACAATAATATTAGATTCGATCGTATAATAAAGTAAACTCAAATCAAATAATGAAAAAATAAAACAAAATCAGACCTGTTCGGCAAAATAAGTTGGAGTAGTGATTTGAACAACACGAAGGAGATCCTCGTAAGTGACAAGATTTGGTTCAAAAACCAACATACCGGCGTTGAAATATACCGGCGGTGGAGCACCGAGGCTTTCAACAGGCCAAGTCACTTTTTTAGGTGACTGTTGGCAGTAACCGATCTTGTATTGAGGAGTTTTGGACCAAGACACTTCGCAAAAGCAATCTTTGACGGCGTACAGGTAGCCACGAGGAGTATCGAAAAGATGATCAATGTTACTAAACACTTGTATGTCTCCATCTAGATATATCATCTTCTCATACTCCACAAACTGCATTTATATGTTAATAAGTCGTTAAATATATGTGACAAGAAATGGTGTAATATATATACAAAGACTTTTTTAATTTTTTTTTTGTTAAAATATAATTTATATATGTTTTTGCAATGTTAGTTAATAGATCTACGTGACAATAGGCGTTATCATGTTTTTTACACCCACGTATCACTCAAGGTAAATGGTAATTATTATAAATATACACTCATTTATAGTAAGAAAGATATTTACCTCCCAAATACGAAGCTTGGAGTAGTTGATAACGTAATAAGCCATGGAATAACCGGTTTCGTTTTCCGGAGGATAGACCGGTTTGATGTCACGGATGATGCATCCTTGAGCCATCAGGATTTGGCGGTGTTCCTCAGGCACGTCAGGGAGAGTCGCCACCACGAGCGGATAAGCTGATTTCACTTTACGAAGTCCTTTGGCTAGACCAACCACACCCATCCAGTAGTCTTTGTTTCCGGCGAGGAAAGTGACGTAAGCCCTTTTCACACCGCCAAGGCTCACCACGTCAGTTTCGATCCTCTTCTCGACGGTCATCGTCATTTGGGCCATCTCAAACAAATAGAAAGAAGATTAGTTTCTTTAGAAGATAAGAACTTTTTTTTTGTTACATTAATGAATGAAAGATTAGAGAAACTATTTTATTTTATAAGGGAGCGAGAGGGAGTGGAGGAATTAAATGAGATGCGGAAATAATAATGGATTAAATTAGAGAATATTGGAAATTTTCATTCCTTGATAACGTTTTTAAAGCTAGTGAATGTCTACAAAAAATGAATCGGAGAGAATAAAGAAAAATGAATCTGAAATTGAGATAAATATGGAAATGAGGATAATTCATTTATATATATTTGCGCATCTGGATTAAATAATTAATAAGCAAGGATAAAGAAAAATGAATCCAAACTTTTAATAAATATGGAAATGGGAATAACTCATCTGGATTTAAATCGGTGCATTAAATCTTTGATGTATATGGCATATATTACCATGTATTGCCTGCCATACATATATTGAATGATTCGTTATGAATTCTTTGTAGTCTTTCTTGTGTGTAAATTGTTCTAGCTTAATTAGGCCAATAGTATACGGCAATTGGGCTTAGAAATTTAATAAAAACATGTTTTAGATTTTAAACCTCTTGGGACCAAGAAAAAAAAAAGACAAATATCCATTCATTATCCAAAAGGGCCAACGAAATCTTTTCATTTACATAATCTAAGTGCAAAATAGAGATTAGATTAGAGATAACTAAACTTTTTTACCATGGAGCCAATGCAGTTGCATGAAACTCAAGCTTCATATCATCAAGCTGTTGGACAATCTTTGCTTCACATGACATACTCTGAGCTATCTCTTTGTTCATCTCCTCATTCAGCCTCTGCAGCTCGAGAATCTTGCGTTCGTTTTCAGCCTTTACGCTCTCTTTCTCTGCAGTCACTTTCTTGACACCTTTGAGTTCATCCAGTTTCTTTGATTGCATACCTCTAAGAGTCAACAACTTATTGATCCGCAACTGAGCTACTTGTACATTGAACCCGTGTGTCTCTAACTCGGTAAAGGAATTACTGAGGCTTATAAATGAGCTTATGGTCTCGTCGTGTTGCAGAGCTTTGACTTGATCAAGTAAACATGAAAAGGTAAGCATCATACCAACCGCCAACATTTCACGGGAATCTTCTCCGATCTCTGCCAATGGGCTGAAATGAGGATTTTGTGGGACTGCTTTAAATACCTCCATTGATTCAAGTATCTTCCAAACTGGTAACTTCTTCTCAAAGAGCAAAGCCGTTGTAGTATCCTTGACTTTGTTTTCCTCAACACTAGAAACAGAACAAAGGTTTCCTTCTCTTTTCCTCTTTCGATTGCTATTTTCCTGCATAGAAGTTAAACGGTGAACTATCAATCAATAGATAAATAACAGTCAAGAGGATTAAAATAATAAGCCACCAGCTAAACAACTACAGAGAAAGTGAGAATTAATGTTCAAGTGAAGAATTAACATTACATTCTCTCGTGTTGAATCGTTTCCTGAACCATTCTGATTCCTTAGAAGTGTCTTCTTGGGGAATGTCTTTCTTTGAGTTTCAGCCTCTGTTTGTTTTAACGGTGTTATAGTTATGCCCGGAGGTGGAGTTACAGGTGGATTAGATTCATTTGCTGGAAAACAGTGGACATTATGAGATCAATTTTCATGATACAGAAACTGAAAATGGATTTGGAGAGTGTTACCAACTTACCATTCATCACAGAATCACCTGTCTTATCTCCTGATCCCTGAGTTAACGATG